AAATGTTAAAGCTGTTTTTGATAGACTTTTTTGTGCTGATTACGAATCCCTAAGTATAAAGTTTCCATCAGCTCCAGATTTTGAGAAACACGTAGTCAAACTGTGAAAAAATCGCGTTTTTTTGCAATATTTGAGAATCTCTTGCAAAGAAACAAAAGGTAATAAAGCTATTCACTTAGGCCTAAATTACAGCTAGAATTCTCAAATAGTATTCTGAAAGTACCATCCCTGCACCTGGACTCGATGGTCACTTATAGTCATTTATTGAACAATAAAAAAATACTGCAAAATTGTGCTACTGAAAAAAAATATTTAGCCAAAAACCAGTTTTTGCTGTTCAATAAATGACTATAAGTCTCCTTAGGATCAACGTGCCGGATTGGCATTTTCACGAGTTGTAAATGAGCCTTAATTTAAGCCTAAATGGAAGGTTCTACCACCTTTTATTTAATTTCGGTAGGTACTCAAACTTCGACAAAACTGTTCTGAAACTGAAAACTGGCCGTTCAATAAATGATTATAGGTGACCATCAGATCAATTTGCAGGCATGGCATTTTCAGGGATAGTAGTCGAGAGTTTTAGCTTTAACTTAAACCTAAGTGGAAGGTTCTATTACCACCTTCTATCAGCTTCTCAAATATTGCAAAAAACGCCGATTTTTTGACAGTTTGATCTCGTTTTTCTCAAAATCTGGAGTTGATGGAAACTTTATACTAACGGATTCGTACAAAAAAGTTTATCAAAAACGGCTTTACATTTGCCGCAACAATTTTTTCCCCCATTTTTATTGGCCTGTGTTATTATTCAGCCTTATCGCGAGTTCCATGTGAACAAATATTCCCAAAAATTATAAAGCAAAACAAAAACAATTTTTCACAATTGGCAGTAAGGCCGATTATAGTTTATCTTACCATGCTCAATGGCGTTCACTCTTCTGTTGGTGATTTTAATAACTTCATCCAGTGTTACGAATGATGTTTGCAGCGATGCCAACTCAACCAAAAGTTTTACTGCGCTCTGATAGTTCTTCTTCAATTTAGCCAATTGTTGACCACCACGCGCTAAACCAGCCAATTCGTAGGTGTCAGCACCATCCTGGTATGATTCGAACACTGGCAGCGTTACACCGGCGACGTTGTCTTTCTTTGTGCGGATCTTGATTTGTGCCTTGGTCACATTTTGTAGGACCACCTGATTGAAGTCACCAGTGGTGAATTTGGCTTCGGCAAGCGAGAATGCAGCCTCCTTCATAACATCGCCCATAAGAGTTTTAGTCTGAAATAGTTGAATTAAGCCAATTAAGCAACGCAAGTCGCAAAGTTGGCAAAGACCTTAAATGCCTTGGCAGTAGTGTAAGTCACCCAGTAACCCAGTTAGAAATTCTATCACAGTCATGTGTAAAGTGGGTTGGCCTTTACGGCTCTGCTGGTAGAACGTACATACGACTTACCTCAATAATTTTACCCAAAATCATACGGAAACGCATTTGCAATGCATCCGCTTTCTTCTTGAGCAAACCATGACCCTTTTGTGCACCAGCCAGACGTGACTTCATCAACATCTGGGCACTGGAAAAAA